ACAGGCTGCCCAGGGAGGCTGTGGAGTCTCCTTCTCTGGAGATATTCAAGACCCACCTGGACAAGGTCCTGTGCAGCCTGCTCTAGGTGACCCTGCTTCGGCAGGAGGATTGGACTAGATGGCCCACAGAGGTCCCTTCCAATCCTGAACATTCTGTGATTCTGTGAAACGGGAGGTCCAGGGATGTCACCCGTGTGCTGTGCTCACGCCTCCCTTCTGAAACTGCCTGCGTGCAAAACCACCAGCTCTCCTCCTCGCAGCACGCTCAGCGTCCCGTCCTCCCCAGCACAACCAGCCCCGGCAGAGCCTGCCGTACGGATGCTCAGCACAGGCGCTGGCACAAGGGGAAGAGAAACATTCGGCAGTTTTTGGTGTTCATGGCCAAGCAAAAGTTCCCCTTGGAAAATTTCATTCTGACTCACAACATCTTTGTTTTTGTTGAGAAAGCAAAGCATCAGGTAGCTGTGCTCGCTCCTCTTCTGTGACACAGGTCTGAAAGTAACCGTCAGCAGTGCTGAGCCCTTGCAGTTTAGGTTTCACAACACTTAACGCAAGTGAAATTTCCAACACTTGAAATTGTTGTCTCAGCTCTTTAAAGAGGGTTTGGGGTTTTTTTTCAAGTCCCACGGCCGCAGTGGGAAAACTGAAAACTCACATCCAAAACATGCAAAACCAGATGGCAGGAATGGAACTCCGAATTAATTATTTCTTAATTTAAAAATTCCTTTAAATTTAATTTGGTTTCTAAGGCAGGCCTGGCTGCCTTGGAGCCTCATTCACCAGCTCCTACGCTGCTGGGATGATGATACCGTGACATTTACAATCACACCAGCTGCTGTGGGTGGTTTTTTCCAGAGCCTGTGAGCTGGCACACATGTCCCAGAGACGCAGTGATGCTCCCGAGTCACTTGAGCCACATCTCGACTGCAGGACCTGGTGCAGCCTGGGCCCGTTGTTCCTGGCCGTCGTTTTGGAGGAGCATCAGCATCCCGTCTGCCCATGGTCGGCTCAGCCCCCACCCCGGCACGGCCCCAAAACTGCCAACCCTTTGCTAAATCGCTGGCTTTGTGCACTAGCAGCCTCTCCAACATCTCAGCGAAGTTTTACCAGCCCCACTGTTCCAAGGCCACACGCGGGGCTGGTGTCCCCCCTGGAAGACATGTTTCTCCGCAGCCGGTGTTCTCAGCTACAGCCGGCACCATCCTCACTCCCTACAGGAGCACCTACCTGCCACAAAAATGAAGTTTTTAACTAGCCTGGAAATCAAGGCTGGTGTGTACCTGCCCAGGACCCCATGGAAGGGAGGTGGCTGATGGGAAAGCAAGTGCTGAAAAATGATCTTCCACACTGGGTGAGCATCTCGGTGCTCAGCACGCTTGGGAGAGCCCATAGCAAAATAGTTTCTATTTAACATTTTAGCTAACTGTGACTACTTTGGGATGAAGGGCTGCGAACCGCACAAATCCCTTGGCCAAACACTCCCCGGGGACGAGCAGGACTTGTGGTGGAGACCCCCTGACCGGGGCAGAGCAGGTTTGGCTGGAGTGATGCACGGAGGAAGCATCCCCTCATCCCTCCCGCGTGCACCAGGCACCTTCTGAAAGCCACGCTGGCAATGGCTCGCTCTGGCCTTTCTTTGTACCCCAGGTAGCAGTGATTTTATCGTCTGAGCCGCGGCTGCCCC